ATTGGTGTGATGAAGCATGCAACCATGTTGTGAGCTGCCCTATGAAAAGATCCACACTACAAGGAAACTGAAGGTGACCTCCCACCAACAGCTAGAAAAAAACTGAAGTCCTCAGTCCAACCCACAAGGAACTGAATTCTGCCAACAGCCACATGAGTGAGCTTGGAAGCAGATCCTTCCCCAGTCAAGCCTTGAGATGATGCAGCCCCAGCTGATGCCTTGATTGCAGCCTGTGAGAGACCCTGAAATAGAAACCCAGCTAAGTTGTGCCCTGATTTGTGACCTACAGGAGCTGTGGGATAGTTGTTTTGTGCCACTAAGTTTTTGGAGTAATCTATTCTGCAGCAATACTGTAAGTAGTACAGGCCAGCACGGAGGTTATGCACAAGTTCAACAATACAGACTTCTGATTATCAAGGCCAATCTGGCTATAGCACTACTGAGTTCCCACCTACCACAACAGAGATCAGCACTGGGCCCTGCTGTGAACAACTTCCTGGGTGCAAGCTAATTACCTTGGGCCCCTCTGTCATGCAGCACAGACTAGGTTCAGAGACTTGGTGGGAATCCCAGCTCTGCCAGGCTGATATGCCTGGGCCAGCCCAGTTCTTCCAGGAGTCTGTTTCCTGCATGTCTGCCAGGAACTTTGTCAAGTATCTCACATGGAACTTGGCACCCAGGAGGAGCTTCACAAGGGGCTGCTCTCTTCCCTTTCCTGGAATATGAGTGTCCCAGGAGCAGGGGCCCATCTCTCTGCCTCCCAATCCCTCCTTTCATCTCAACAATTTCAGGACTTCTGGGAAGCACGGTCATTATCTGGCCCTTCAGAACCCCAGTGACCATGTACCTCAGACTTTAGACCCCACTCTCATGGGGTAGCACCCTTACCAATGAGCTTTATGCGATGCAAAGGGAACAGGGTTCACATGCACAGTGTGGGGTTCCAGCTGCTGCTCCCGTCTGCCCCTTGCAAGCCTAGACTCTGCAGGCCCCTGACTGGAAGTGGGGCCAGAGGACTCAAGCCTGGGCCTTGCCTTCCCTCTAGCAGCTCTCAGTATGGGGAGCTTGGGGATAGGACAGAGAGACCTATTAATCCTAGAGTGTTTCAGATGCTACATGAGGCACAGTGGAGGCACTAGAGAGGGGGAAGGTAGGGAATGGTTGGGCCTGAGAGAAGGGGTTGGGGTAAGTCGTTAGAAGTGATGTCTGTTCCCATCTCCTTGTCTCCTGCAGACTCAGGAGCTATCCTGAGGGATGTGGCAACCTGGGAGAACACAGCAGCAAGATGGTGTCTATGGTAGAAAATGACTTTGAAGTGAAGATACCGTTTCCCCTATCCTTTCTCTCCATCTCCCACTCATCTGTTCCCCCCCCACCCCCAATCAGTCACTCCTCTCTTTCTAGGGGCATCTGGGAAAGACAAACAGATTTGCAACCAGAGCAAGCTCTCTGGAAGGGGTGACCTTTTTTTTTTTTTCTGGTCCATTTTAAAAAATCTTTATTGTTCAAAGTAGTACATATGTTCCCCCTTAAGGGTCATGTTTTTAATTTTTAAAAAAATTAATGAGAGAAACACCAGTTGCCTCCTGTAAGCACCCCAACTGGGGATCAAACCCATAATCTTTTGGTGTACAGGATGACACTCCAACTGAACCACCTGGCCAGGGCTGTAAGAGGTCACATTTGATCTGGGTCTTGCAGGATGGGGGTAGGGTCTCTCCTGCAGAGTTTGTGGGATGTATATCCACCGTGAGGGTTGGGACACGGGTGTTGCCAAGATGGGAAAGGTTGGAAACTGCTGAGGGCTGGGTCCATACCCTGGAGGACCCCAGCTTGAGCCTAACAGTTCCCCATCTTGGGAGCTGCTACAGGTCTACAGGTTGTAGGCATCCTCTTGTCAGGCTACTTCTTCTGGGAGCTGCCTTGGGGTGGGGAGTGATAGTGAAATGCTGAGCCTGAGCTCCTTCCTGTCCCCATCCCTGCTCTTATGCCCATCTCTTTTGAAGTCATCTCCTCCAATCCTCTTTTCAGGATCAATTCCACATAGGTGGGCAGACAAAAGGTCAGCCTTTTCCCCTGGATTGGGGCTTGGGGTCAAACTGGGCAGGGGTCTCTGCTTCCCTTACTTTTACAATCCAGGGCATCCCAATTATAAGATGAAGGGAGCCTGGCCGGCGTGGCTCAGCAGTTGAGCGCCGACCTAGGATCCAGGAGATCGTAGTTTGATTCTGTCAGGGCACATGCCCAGGTTTGGGCTCAATCCCCAGCAGGGGGCGTGCAGGAGGGAGCCAATCAATGACCCTCTCATCATTGATGTTTCTCTCCCTCTGAAATCAATAAAAATGTATTTAAAAAAAAAGTTGGAGACTGCAGAGCCCAACCCTCCCATCAATCAAAGCTGCCAGAAAAGGTGCTTTCTCTCTTCACTAGGCTTCTATCAACTGGCAATCTTGGGAATGGGGTGGAGCAAAATGAACCCACTGAGCATTCACATGAGAAAGGCCAGAGGCAGTTGCTGGGCTCCTGTAGGCATCAGGGCCTGTCTTTTAGCCTTTAAGCCCTTGGTGCAGTGCCCAGCTCCCAAGGAGGAACACCCCTTGTGGAACCAGGCATGATGGGAAGCTGGTGGGCTGCCCCACTGAAGCAGCTTCAATGCTCTTGCTTCCTCGTCTGTATCCTCACAGGCAGACTGAACACAGAATATTCGACCACAAAGAGTGGTTCTTGCATTTGGAGGAACAAGGACCCCCTTATGAATCTGATGCAAGCTGGATAGTCTTCTTGCCAGAAAAACATGCATGCAAACCCTCCAAAAATATGTAAACGACCTCCTGTGATGATCTCTGAGCTAGTCCAACACCTTCACTTTGGTGCCCAGATGAGGAAAAAATCTGCGTAATATAAACACAGCATTAATACCTACATTTAAAAGGAAATTGGGCTGGAAACCATTACCATTATAAAAGAACAGTCACAAAGGGTAACGTATTGCATGATTCCACTTATATAAAATATTCAAAATAGGCAAATCCATATAGATTACCGGTAGCCTTGGAATGGGGAACTGGAGGGAGGAGAGTGATGCCTAAGGTGTATGTAATTTCTTTTTAAAATGATGGAAAAAATTCTAAAATCTTTTGTGGAGATGGTTGCACTAGAATGTAAGCCATTGAACTGTATACTTGAAGTGGGCAAGCTGCGCGGTATGTAAATGACATTGCAATAAAGCTGTTTTTCAAAAGTGAACTCAGGTTGTAAATGACCACACATCTGAGCTTCAGTCCCCATTCATAGAACAGAAAGAACCCTTGAGGGTGGAGAAAAACCAGGGAAGGGTCCCTGACTGGCACATGGATTGGCCAGAGAACATTCTAGAGTGAGATTATATATATAATCTTGGTCTTGAGGGGAATGAAGCATCACAGACAGTTTTAAGCAGTAGAGTGACATGATCATATCTGAGCTTTAGAAATATCCCTCTGATCTACTGAACTGTACATTTAAAACAGGTAAATTTTACAGTGACTAAATTATACCTCAATAAAGCAAAAAAGCACTCTGGGGCTTGAGGAAGACAGACAAAGGCTACTGGAGGAGTTAAGTGAGAGGTGCAGGGCCATCTGTTGGGAGGTGGAGAAAACTGCGTTGGGGAGTGGGGGACTCAGAATGTCCTGCTCCAGTTCAGGAGAACCTGGTGGAATTCAGTTCCAGAGGCCAGAGCTGGAGGGCTCCCGCCT